TCTACTGCCACGCGAGCCGAATATTTTAACGTTATGCGCTTCTTCACTTTCCAATCTCTCACCAAGCGTTGCCCTATAAAACATTATATTATTTTAAATTATTATTCACAAACGAGTAACACTCAAGAAATCTAAATGGGACAAAGTATTTACTTGTTCCGTTTCTTTTTTTCCAGTCCGCCTTCCTCGAACTTCACTTTAGTTTTAATTTCATTCATTTCTGAATCATTCTCTGCAGCCAAATTATTATCCTCAGTTTGACTCTCCTGTTCCTGTTCTCTTTCATTTTTCTTTATTAACCGATAATTTTTTCGCACTTCTTTCACCCACGATTTTTCATCATCTGAGCTATCCTCGTCAGAATTGTCGTGAAGCAAGCTTTCGTCCGAGCTATTACCTTTGAAAGAAAAATATTTTCAAGTATAATTTCTTCATGCATGTTTTTTTCAGAAAGAAAGATTATTTCAAATTTTGATTTTTTTTACCTTTATCTTCATCAGATTTCTCTCGAATTTTTTCTTCTTCTTCTTGAACCAATTGCTGTTTCAATTTCTTAGCGTTACTTTTAGCAAGTTGAGAAATAACAGGATTTAACAAAGCATATTCCTCAGAATTTTTATCAACTTGAAAATCTGGGTTGCTGAAGAGAGCTTTAAATCGCTCATCTTTCAGCAGATTAGAAGACGTTTGTTTCTTCTTATTATTAACAATTGCATTCTCCATTAATTTCAACGCCAATTCCTGATTTACGCTTGGCAACTTCTGTACCTGTTTTGATTAAAAAAAAATACATTGCATAAATTAGTAAAAAATGTTAATTTCTAAAATATTTCTATATGTTATTAGGTAGTTACAGAAAGATAAAATTAAGTTACCTGTACTCTACTGACAGCTTCCTCTTTAATCTTCTCATGAATTCTTCTTTTTTTGTATTCTTCGAATTCGAATGGTTTCATTACATCTCTTGCCTTTCTATATAACCGGATGTCCATAAAATACCCATGCATATAAGCTCTGAGTAGATTAGAGCCCTTCAGATGCGAAAGACCTAATTCATCTAATTCTTTCTCAGTTACAAACTTGTAATCATCGTATATAATGTCATAATTCAGTTCTTCTAATTCTTCTGTAAGATTATCAAGGAAGCTGCACCAATAAGGAGCAGGACCGAGACTGGGAATGTAATACACTTGCATTTTTGTAGTTTCATTAGCCATCAGAAGCATACCGGTATTCGGTATAACAGATAAATCATTGAAATCATGCTGAGCTTCTATGGAAGTATAAAGTTTACCCTGAAAAAAAGAATTATATGATGAAATTCTAATTATGATAGGAAACATATATTTTGAAAAAAGTTTAACTTTGGAAAGAAATAAATTTTACTTACGCTATCCTTTTCCCATATTTTCACAATAGAACTATCCATGGAATAAACAAGTCCCATTTCTTCGTGGAAATCTATGCACTTAATTGGCAATCCGTACATGTGATCTTTAATTAAAAACGGTTTATTAGATCTTATATCATACATTAATACGAGTCCCGTTGATGTACCAACTCCTAAATTCAACCCTCCTTGAAATTTTAAAGCAGTAATCGCGGGAACCACTTGCAAGCTGAAAAATCAAACTTTAATCTAAGAACCACATCCAACAAAACAAGGTAAATTTTGTATCTTACTTGTTTTGAGTAATACAATGCAAGGCACAATCAAGTAAGCCCACTCTGTTTCTTACTCTTGGATCCCAAGCTTCAATCCTTCCTTCCTGAGTACCAACTGTGAGTAAGTGATGCAATGGATTTATTTCACATTTATTTATCGACGTTGCTTCTGTTTCGAATGGTTGCAAAAATTGACCACGTTCAAGATTTATTCTGTATATCTTATTGCTGCAAAAACATATATACATCGTAATAACACTTTCATTAGGAATACATTACATGTATCTGTCATGTACATATGTCTTTATAATATAAACTCTTGTTTAAATAACAATTCCAAGACAAAAATACATAATAAAACAATGTTTTTAGAACTGACCTATCACCTACAATTAAAGCATCACATGATGGATAGTGATATTTCAGATCCCTCCCGAAATTTGGTACTCTCAGTTTATAATACTTTCCATGAGCAGCATGAAATTCAACGTTGCGATCACATTGCAGAAATATTATCTAAACAAATATGATAAATTTAATAACATTATCTTAATTTTTATTAAGTTTAAATATAATGTTCTTTTCTAATATAATGAACAGCTAAAAACTGTGAAACAATGAATCAAGTTCCTTTGTTGCATAACATTTGTAATACTTACTTTACTATAGTCATCTGAAATTATTTCAAATGTAACTACTTCAGAATCAAAGCACCTTTCAAATTTTAATGCCAAGTTATTGACATCAAAACACTTAACTCGCGGTTTGTAAATCCCTGTTGCTAGAATATATTGTTTGTCTTTAGAAACCTGGATAGATGTGCTCACACCAGGCATGTCAAAGTCCTGTATCAGTTCGATACGTCGTCGTATATCTAATCAGAAATAACACCATTAGATACACTAAGAAAAATTATATATTTCATTTTATTTTATAAAAATTTAAAACATTGACCAATATAAAAAAACTATCAAATTGGTTTCAATCAAATTAGAATTAATAATTTAATTAAAAAAGATTTCAGATATTTTTGCAAATACCTACAAAGCAGATCTAGATTTTTATCATTATTTTTATAATATAATGATATAATTCTTACCGACATTTTTCTTTGATAAACTTCTTCGTTTTCGTTCAGACAACCACTGCAAAAAATAAAAATAGATATTAGAACGTAATACTTAACCTAAAACAACCTATGTATAATCAATTAATTTAGTCATTTTACCTCAGGAAGAGATTTTCCAGCGCTAAGATTATAAATTTTTACATTATTTGGTGCGGAAACCTGCATTTTGGCAATAATTTCATGTGATAAATTAAAAAATTCTTAATTATCCGCAGATGTAAAAGGCCAATCAAATTTAATGGAACTCAAAATGTTTGCGAACGTGAACACGTGCAATAAAGTCAATTGCCAACAGAGAAAAAGACTCCAAAAACTGCAGGGTTGTTAAATAAGTCAATTTTGCGCATGCGTGTATGAATATCATAGACATAAAAATGATATAGAATTGTTATAATATAATTACAATACAAGTGTGAACATTTAAAATGATTATGCAGATTTAATCATGCAGATCATGTTTTTATTAGGAATTTAACATGACAAAAACGTATCTATTATATAAATTTATAAAAATAAAAAGTAACATCTGGGAAAGCAGATTTCTCATTGGATATTATTTATTTTGTCCATTGCACTTAGTATTCAAAAACCATAAGAATATATGTGAAACGATATATCATAATAATGTATTGGAAACAATTAATTCGATGACTAATTATATTTATATGACAGATATATATTTGTTTTAATATTAAAATTATAGTTGGCATTATTTTTCATATTTTATTAATTTTGTAAAAAAATGTTTTAAGTTTACATTCTACAATAGTTTCTTTTTAAAAATTTAAACAATCACAGGAGGAATATATTTTTAAACGACAAATTGACAATCATTCAAATGTCCATGTCAAATGTCCCTAGAATCCAAGTGCTGCTAACTATGGAAACGTCCGATGGAGGGAGCGACGTAACCGTGAGCGACGATTCGATGACGATTAGGCTGCAGTAGGGAGGGGAGGTATCGAAGCGGCGTTGAAGGGGGAGGGATGGCGAACGACCGGCGTTTCGGAGCCGCGTATCGGTAGTCGCGAGACGAGGCAGTCGGTGACGGGTTGTGGTCGTCTAGTGTGGCGTAGTGAACAGTTTCGGTCGTCTCACCTCCCCTTGTGTTCAAAAATGAGCTGGCAGGATTATGTTGATAAGCAGCTGCTCGCGTCTAGGTGTGTTACCAAAGCGGCGATCGCCGGACACGACGGCAATGTGTGGGCGAAATCTGAGGGTTTCGAAGTGAGTAGCAACTTCTGAAAGAATATTTCGAGAAACGCTAGAGAGAGAGAGAGAGAGAGAGAGAGAGAGAGAGAGAGAGAGAGAGAGAGAGAGAGAGAGAGAGAGAGAGAGAGAGAGAGAGAGAGAGAGAGAGAGAGAGAGAGAGAAGAGAGAGAGAGAGAGAGAGA